AAGAAGACGCAGAAACGACATGGACGGACGTCGCGCTGAGTCTTGGGGCCGAGCTCATGGTTCGCGTACGCACTGCAGTCGTCGATCAGCTCGGATACACCACTTCTGCAGGTATTGCGTCGAACAAAACCCTGGCCAAGTTGTGCTCCTCCTGGCGCAAGCCAAACAGCCAAACGACCATGCGACCCGCTGCTGTCGCCAACTTCTTACGCGACCTTCCTTTCCAAAAGATTCGCTTCCTCGGCGGCAAGCTTGGAAACGCCATCTCGACAGAGTGGGAGTCATCCACTGTCGGCGATCTCTGGTCTATCAGCCGAGAGGAGATGCAGGCCAGATTTGGAGAAGAGAGTTTGTGGGTGTTTAATGTCCTGCGCGGCATCGACCACTCTGAAGTAAAGGAACGCGTCGCGACCAAGTCGATGCTAGCATCGAAAAATGTCAGACCGCCGATTCGTAAGACGGCTGACGCCATGCACTGGCTCTCCATCCTCTCCACCGAGCTAGCCATCCGTCTGCGCGAAGCGAGAGAAGATATGCCTAATCTGTGGCCGCGCACGCTCATCTTTCGCTTCCTGCGTGCAGGCGACGTCCCGCGAAGCAAGCAAGTCGCTTTCCCCTTTGTTCGTGACTTGCAGGGCCATGACATCCTCAAAGCCGCAAAGAAGCTGTGGAACGAGTCGGCAGGCGACGCGCTTGGGACGCCAGAAGGCTCTATCCGACCCGCGGAGATTGTCAGCATCAGTCTTGCCTTTTCGCAGCTAGAAGCCGGTGAGACAGGGCAGAAGAGCATTCAAGGCTTCTTCCGCAAGAGGGAAGCTTCAACTCCGGTATTTGTGGAAGGATCTACGAAGGCAAAAGAGTCGGATGGGAACGACGAAGCGTCTATCATGCTTTTTGGCATTTCTTGCGACGAAGTCCGGCCAGTGCGCAGTGAGCACAAGAAACGCAAAGAGCCGGGCGGGCTCGAGCTTTTTGCCAAAAAGCAGAAGCTGCAGCTGAGAGACCATGTGGCGGACGCGCATGGCGAAGGCGAGGGCAAAGGCTCTGACGAGTTGACGTGGACATGTGATGAATGCGGGAAAGTCGTACGCCAGGCATTCGACGCTTCCGCTGCCGACGACAATCTTCGCTGCTTTGCTGAGCAAACATTGGTGTTGCAAAAGCAAGATCACCAAGATTGGCACTTCGCAGTGGCTTTGTCGCGTGAAGAACTGGCCGCGTCGTCTAACCCTCAACAGCAGCATCCGGGGCATCACAGCTGCTCCTCTGACCCTTCCTTATCCGTCTCGTCCACAACGAGCAAGAAGAAGAAGAAAGGCTCAGCCCCTTCAGATGCCAAGCAAAAGAAAGAAGGAATCACGTCATTTTTCAGCAAAAAGTCATAGATCTTCTCGCCAGCAGTAGCATGGTGTATGAAAGCATTGCACAATCGCATTCTTGTCTTTCACTGTCGCTGCTCCGTTTGAGTCTACC